ACACTTTATTTACAAATAAGTTCTGCAATTTATAATACAATACCTGACAACTTATTTCAACAAATTTATGCAAAAGAAACAATTGAATCTTTAGCGAAATGGATTATTTATGAAAGAAATCAAAACTTACATTCAATTTAATTATTATTTCAAGAGAATATTGACGAACATCTTCATATGTATCCCATAAACAATTTAATAAATATTCCATCGAATTTTTATCAAGTAATTCATAAAAATCATAGAGTTTAGATTTTTCTATAATGAATAAAAAAAACGTTTTATTTTTTCTTGAAATAAATTTGATTTAAAATATTTACGACAAACTGTTTGAATTCCTTCATTTCCATGTAAATGAATTAACCAATGAAGTGTTAATATTGACAAATGACGTTGACAATAAGATCCTTCCAAATATAAATGAGAACAACACCAATTTATTAACCATTTCAAATAAGTCTTAAATAACAAAAAAAAAGATTTTTAAATTTCGATTTTTGTATTAAAATAATTTTACTCGATATCTTTCTGTTAGATTAGCAAAATCTTGATCAACATTTTTTAATTTTTGTCTTGCACAGAATAACCAACTATCTTTTAGACGAATAAAATGCTAAAAGAAAAAATTTGTATTTAAATTTGTAAAAACTAATTTGAAAATACTTTTTTAAGTAATGATATTGCTTGATTTCTAAATGATGTTGAACCATTATCAACATTCATTTGAAGAAAATATTTTATTAAATCAAATTCAATATCAATTATATATTCAGTTGTCTTAGGATTTTCACAAAGAATAAATAAACAATCAAGACATATCTGAAATATAATAGATTTCATTTTTGTTTTTAGATTAAGGAAGAATAGCTACTTGTTCATCTTCACTTGTTATTCCTTGACGAATTAAATTCTGTTCAATTAATGAAAATGTTGAAAATATATTTGGACATAAACCCAGTGTTCGACCAATACGCGTACAAACAATTAATGTTCGAGGATTAACTTTAATTTAAACGAAATTTATTAGAAAAAAAAAGCAAACTCAATTTTCTCTAATAACCTGTTATTTCTTTTAAATCTTGTAAATATTCTGGATGACCTTTAAGAATTTTTGGTAAAATATACTAGAAGAAGAAATTAAATTAATTTACTAAAAAAAGTAATTTTTACTTCAGCAATAAGAAATCGATGTAATGGTGTTGATGTATCAAGTGCATGAACAACTGGTTTTAACCAAATTTGTTTCCATTGATCTTTTAATTTTTCTTCTTCATAATGTTTATGACATAAAACATAATAAAGATAACTTGCCTAACAAAAAGAATATTTATTAGGTAAATATTAATATAAATTTACTTCTGATGCTAATCCTCGATCATTCATAGCCATAAGACATGATTCGGGTAATTTCGGATTCCATTGAAGTATATCACTAACTGATATATATTCTAAAAGTGTATGATAAGCTAATGAACATCCATCTTTTTGCCATGGAAGTTGTTTTAATAATGTTAATTGAGAATCAATTATGATTTGACGAAGATCACCTAAATTATAAAATATTTAGAATTAAAAATCTGCGTATCTACATTCGTATGAACTCGGAAAAAAACACAGTTTCAATTATGATTTTTATACTTGTCTATTATTTAAACATACTATGATTCATAGTTATTTTAAACATATTTGAATAAATATTTGCTGAACAATGTCGAACTGTCTAGAATAGAAATAGAAAATTTTAGGTAAAAGTTTTGTTATGAATTAAATTTCGTTTACTTCAACATTATAACTAAAATGATCCCAAGAAAAAGTTAATAATTGTTTAACAATATTTTCTAATGAACTTGTATCAAGATTTCTCCATGAGCAACTATAAATAATAAAAATAGAAAATTACAAAAAGAAATCATTTCTTACGTTAATGCTTCCGAATATGTTTCTAATGCTTTTGATATTCCAACCGTTATTGTTGCATCACGTCTGGAATAAAAGAAAATTTATCTCAGAAAGAAATTTAATTAAAAACAAACGTTTTAAACGCAAGAATTTCATCAAGTAGTTGCGTAAAAAAATGTGTATCACATAAATCATTTGTCATAGTTGTTTTAACCAAACCAAAATATAAAGCTAATCGTGATAATTCAACAGAAGTTACTTGTTTCATTCGATCAAGCTAAATAAGAATTTAAAAGAAAATGATAAAATTTCCTAAAATCTATTTTTTTTACTTTTGCATTTGGTAATAATTGTTCATTCTCTTTTAATAAATGCCAAACTAATGAACATGTTAAACGAATCTCTAATGTTACCGTATTTTCTAAAAAAAACAATTAGATTTAGATTTAAATTAAAAATAAAACAAACCATCGTTTAGCATTTGATGAACTAATTGAGATATGATATTATCACGTTCAAGTTCATCATGAAATTTCGGTAGAAGAAAAACAACAACTTTTAAATAATATTGAAGTTGTTGAAATAGAGTAAATCGATGATGAGGAACATTTGTTGATCTACATTAGAATTCGAATTAATGCAATTATTTCAGAGAACTTATTCTTACCGAACATCTGACCAAATTTCTTCACCGACGGTAATCAATTGAGCAGAAACTAAATATTAGAATGAATTATTTTCTATAATGAAAAAACAAAAGAAAGTTACTTGTATCTTTCATTTTTAATACACAAGCTAAACCTAAAAAATAGAAAAATAATTCTTAAAATTGAATTTTAATTCAAACAAAAATTACCAAATGGAAAATTTTCAATAAGATAATTTAACATAGAAACATAATCAGTTCGACGTTCTTTTCCTTGTTGATTGAAAAATTCTTGTAAATGTTTCGTACATTGATCAAGAACATTATCATATTGATTTTCTGGTAAATTAGAAAAACCTCTAAAAAATACAAAAAAATGAATAAATCTTTTTTTTGTTATTAAATCAAATCTTACTTAACAACACATTTTCTTAATGATGTATTTGGTGGATCAGTTGATGATGAAATAATTAAAAGATTAATTAATTGTTCACATAATGATCGAATATCATCTTGATTTGATGAAGAAAATATCGATTGACTCTAAAAAATCAAATAATTATTTTTATCAAATCTTTGAAAATAATTTTACTTGTTTAATAACATCAGCAACATTTTGTTTACCATTTGGAATGACAGGTATTGGTGAAAGAATTTTTTTTGCACGTGAAGGCATTTAGAAGAAAATAATCTAGAATTAATAGAACTAACCATTAAGATAAATCACAAAAATTTCTTTTTATTTAATTAATAAAAACAATTTCATTATTTTTATTTTCAATATGAATATTTTCAAAAAAAGGATTTAATTGTTTAAGAATTTGTAATTGTTGATAACCAATATTCCAACAATGAGTTGAAAAACGAAAATGAAATTGTTTTAAATGATAAATTCGATGAATTAAATTTGATATTTGTTTAAAAACATCTAATGGATATGATGTTAATTTCATTGAGATATATAATTTAGTTAATTTAGAGAAATAATCAATATAAATCTCTAATATATCAAGTGATAATAAATTATAAACATGAAATTGTCGAATATTTCGATGTTCACAATGATTTAAAAGAATAATTGTTTCATTATTTGAATGTCCATTATCAATGATTTCAATTTCAAGTCGAATTAAATTCGGACATAAACGTATTATACGACGAAAATCAGCTAATGGAATTGTTATCTGAACATAAATTGTATGTAATAATGGTAATGTACAATGTTTGGGTTCGAAATAGAATGAATGATTTTCAGGTAAATATAATCGACATGAACGAAGATTTTCCAATGAACTTGCACTAAAAATTAATTCATAAAATGATCGAGCACTTATTAAATTAATTAAATAAGGATTTGACCATTGAATACAAATACGTTCAACATATGAACTTATTTCTAATAAATTTATTATTTGAATTATTGTTGGATCAACTAATGTTATTGATCGAATATTAATAAGTAATGGAAGAAAATGAATACTTTTATGTTGAGAATCAATATATAAACTATGAATTTTTTGAGAAAAGAAATTAAGACATTGATCATCATTGGAATTTTCAAGACGAATATAAATATTATTTAATAATTTTAATAGATTATTAAAACGAATATTTAATCCAGAAAAGATTTTATATAATTCTACACCATGAAAATAATTACTAAATAGATGAACAAATAATTCATTGGGTAAATCTTCTAAACAAGTCGACATATTTTTTGACTATATCACATCTAAATAAAACAACAAGAATTATTTAAATAAATTAACTCCTATGAAAATATCAAGTTACTCATCTAATTTATTTTCCAGCAAAAAACTATCGCTCATGATTTTCAAGTACTTGGAAAATGGTCAAGCTAAGTGTGCTCTAAGTTGTCGCGAAAAAATCGGGACTGTGCTAAGTCGACTGGTGATGTTGAAGAAAAAAAAGCGCACAGTTATAAAGCTGCAATTTATCGAAAAACTTGACCTTGGAAAATGTTAGTCGAAATCAAATAGACTTTTCTAGAATATTCTTCAAAAAAACTCATTTTCTAATTAATCATATGAGAGATTTTTGAAATAAAAATAGAAATTATCCACAAGAATAATTTTAAGTTAATACTCGAAAATTAATTTAAGATTTGATGGAAATTGTTTATAAAAATTCCTAGAAGAATTTATGAATCTTAAATAAGAAAAAAGAAATAATTGTGAAACTAATGAAAATAAAATTTATTAATAGAAAAATTCTATTTATACAATAAAGAGAAGAAAAATAATTAAAGTTATTTAATTGTTTTGTTTAAAAAAACAATACAAAAAAAGTATTTTATCGAAAAATAAATTTTATTTGTTGTTTTACTATACAATTTATAGAAATAATTAACTGATTGGTGGTAAAACTTCTTGTTGTTGTTGTTGTTGTTTTGATGAAGAATTATAAGTAAAATCACGTAAGAATGCATCGAATTCATCAATACTTGTTATTCGTGGTAATGGTGAAGAATTTATTGGTAAAATATCCGAAAAAAACAAATCATCTGAAGTTGATGTTGATGAATAATCATTATTAAGTAACATTTCAACAAATAAATCATCATTATTGATTATTTGTGGATCAATTAATAAATTTTGTATATCAATATTATTTTGATCTTCTTCTCCTCGATTTATAAAATTCATAGGAAATGATTTGAGAATTTCATCTAATTCAGATGTGGAAAATAATTCGATTTCTTCATCATTTATACTGGAGATTTGCAATGATGGATTTAGATCAGTATTTGAATATTCATTGGAATTATTTTCTAATGTTAACACTTCTAAATTTAAAAAAAAAGCAAAAAATACATAGAAACAGAACGAGAAAAAAGAACAGAAATGTTTCTCGTGTTTTTTTGCTGTTGAGAGAAAAGAAGAAAAAAAAGGTCCTACCCAGATTTGAACATGAATCAATCAAGAATTGTGTGATCAATATGTAGCAAAAAATAAGACAAAGAGAATAAATTATAAACATCATTAAAGAATAAGTTCACTGGGGCTCCTGGATTCAGAGTCCAATGTCCTAACCGCTAGACCATAGGACCGATGTCAATACTCAATTCATATATCTACTTTACTTTTTCATACTTTTAATTCTTATTTTTAACAAAATAAAAAAAAATTCGTTTAATAAATATTCTCTTAGATGAAAACTTGTTTTTGTTTTTGAAGAAAATGTAATTACCTTGTTTATTAATTTTGTTTTGTACTTGTTTAATTCTTTCAATTAATTTTGTTTTATTTGTATGTGATGATGGAATTTGATATTTTTTACATAATTCTTTAAGTTCAACTAATGTCATTTGTTCAAGAGATTTTTTAGGTAACAAAATTTCTTGTTCATTTTGTTTATTTGATGTTAATTCAAGTAAAAGTTGTTGTTGTGCTAATCGTATATGATGAGTATTCGATGTTGATGAAAGTGAATCAACTTTTGTAACTTTTGGTTTACATAATGATGGTGAACCTGTATATTCATGAAATATAAGTGGACGATGATACGACGATGTTGCTTTAAATGGAATTTGACCACCTAAAGAAAATCAAATCAAATTTTTATTTTTCGATTTTCGATTTTTATTAAATAACCTTGAATAGCTTCTTCTAAATCAGGATGTTCATTTGTATCAATATGAAGAATATTATGTTGAATTAAATCTAAAGGACCTGGACGATTTAAAAGACGATTATTTAATTCATCTGCTAAACGTGCACGTTTAAGAGCATATTCAGCATTTTGAAGACTTGGTGCACAATGTGAATCAAGTAAGATTCTTTGTTCAACTAATTGATGACGTTCAGGACGATGAGATAATTTATTATTTAAGATTTCAGAACGATTTAATAATGAATTAACTTCATTTGATGAATTTAGTTTACGTTTTAAACTTGAATTTGACATATTAAATATACACAAGTCACGAAATTACATATGACAAAGAAATATTTCACATCAGTATTTATATATAAAAGACGTCATCTAATCTTACAAACTGATGATTCATCACTAAATATGCAACGGGAGGAAGAAAAACCAATATATACATGTATACATATTATACTTTCTTCTCTCATAACTTCTTTTTTTTATGATAGATGCCACTCAAAGCTTGATACATATATATATATGTATAAATATTAAATTGATTTTTTTTTCAATAATATTTTAAAATAATAATACATTGTACAAAAGCATCTTATATCACATAATATTTTTCTTTATTTATTCTCTCATCATTACATACTAAATAGTCAAATTTGCATAGAAGATGAAAACAGTGAAAATCAAAAAAGGTCATCTAATATATAGTAAACCAATTTAAAAGAATACAGATAGAGAAGACTAGCCTCAATCCAAATGGATGATTATAAAACACATTCAAACTAAATATTTCTGTTAGTATTTATTGAGAATAATCTTAAACTTTTTATATGTTCATGAATTTTTAGATAGCCCATCCGACGATAAGAAAATAAACTCAAGTCACTGCTTATGTGTGTGTTTAAAGTTAACTAACAGAGAAGATGTGTAAAATACTTTGCATGAATATTTATTAAGACAAAATCAACCGAGCAAAAAAGAAAAAAAAATGAAAAAAAAACAATGATAAGTCTACGTGATCAATTGACGTCCAATCCAGCAATGTCTACGCTGGTGTAACATTTTCTGCTTCTGGACCTTTCGGACCCTGAGTTACGTCGAACGTAACCTGCTGATTTTCTTCCAAGGTTCTAAATCCACTGCTGTTGATTGCAGTAAAATGAACAAAAACATCTGGACCACCGCCATCTTGTTCAATAAAACCATAACCTTTCTCGTCATTGTACCATTTGACCGTGCCTGTCGCTCTCTTTGCAACACCTAAAACAAATAACAAAAGACATATTTTTCTTCACATTCACACGAATAACCCTTTCGACAAAACTCTCCTTAGAACAAACCAACATTATTTTATGAACTATAATGCATCTGTAAAAAAATCCAAAGAATCTATTCATTGTAAGACTAACTATAGACATGATTATTTGAACGATCATCCTGTCATTTTCAATCCACAGGTTGAGAGAAAATAACTCACATAACAAATTGATGATACTTACTAAGGTCCAAAGATTTCTTTAGAAGATATTCCAATCGTTTGATGAGAGTGTCATCATCCTCATCACTATCTTGTTCGTTATTGAAGTCTCGTACATTGTGATTATTTTGTGCCAATTCATCGGTATCACCATAGAAGCGTCGCATTGGTGAATTGAAATAAGATTCATCGTTATCGTTCAACCTACGTCCATCTGCAACAGTAACAAGACCTACCATCAATACCGTTATACAGCAGACGTATATTTTTATCATGTTTTATGATATAAAGTAATAGTAAGAATGTATGCAACGATAAATGAAAATTACTCTTCTCTTATAAGATTTGCATTACATTGTGAGTAGTGAAGTATAACGGGATATTTTGGTATATACAACAAAGAAAAATATCTTTTTCTCTCAATTATCGTGAGTTCTTATGAATAAAACAAGTTTTACCTTGACGTGATATTTTTATCTATGCGCAGTGAAGGATATCTTTACATGACTCTAACTGTTTTCGAACATAGTTTCAAATTATGTGACAATCATTGAAGAACGTAATCATTTTAATACAGTGTCATAACAATAAAAGTAGTAGAAAGAAGAAAAATTTTATTTGATGGATTTGCTCAGTTAAAAGTAAAACTCGTGAATGAAAATTATGATAAAATACTTAATCTTAATATTTGTATCAACTTTTCGATGTTGCTTCGAATGTTTTAAAGACGATCATTATCGGTACAAACATAAGTACAATATCAAAGTATATCTATGAAGAATTAATATGTAACAATCCATGTTTCGATACATCAATAACCATAATAACGAACACATCAATTAACTCATCGAAATATTAATATGTATAAATATTGAAATTAATTTTTGTTTTAATCATATTTTAAAGTGCTAATACATTGTAAAAAAGCATCTTTTATCAAATAATAATTTCCTTATTTTATCATTACATACTATAAATGGTCAAATTTGTATAGAACACGAAAAAAGTGAAAATCGAAAAAGGTCACCTATAATATATATAGTAACACGACTTGGAAGAGTGTAAATGGAGGCGACAAGCCTCTATTCAACTACATAAGGATAAGACACACTCAAACTAAATATTTCTGTCACTATTTACTAATAATAATCTTCAAATTTTTCTATGTACATAAATTTTCAGATAGTCCATCCAAGGATAAGAAAATAAATTCAAATCACTGCTTGTGTTTGTGTATTTATGTTTAATTAAAAGAGGAAATGTGTTAGATTCTTTGCATGAATATTTATTAGGGAGAATGAAACCGAACCAAAAAAGTGAAAAAAATGAAAAAAAAGAATTATAAGTCTACGTGATTAATCGACACCATATCCAATAATAACTATAGTGGCTGGATATTTTCTGCCTGTAGACCCTTCGCACCTTGGGCTGTGTCGAACTGAACCTGCTGACCTTCTTCCAAGGGTCTGTATCCACTGCTGGCGATTGCTGAGAAATGAGCTATAACATCTTCACTACCATCATCAGGAGTAATATAACCAAAGCCCTTTTCTGCATTGAACCATTTGACAGTGCCTGTCGATCTCCTTGTAACACCTAAAACAAATATCGAAACATATATTTTTCTTCACATACACACACAGTTCTCTCGACGAAACTTCTTTTTAGAATAAAATAAGAATCTCTTGTGAACGATAATACATGTATAAAAAAATTCAATGAATCTATTCAATTCAAAACTAATTATGGACATGATTATTTGAATAGTCATCCTTTCTTCGATCCACTAGATGAGAGAAAATACCTCACATGATAAAGCGATCATACTTACTAAGATCTAAATGTTTCTGTAGAAGATATTCCAATCGTTTGACGAGAGTATCATCATCCTCATCACTATCTTGTTCATTATTGAAGCGTCGTACATTGTGATTGTTTTGTTCCACTTGATCAGTATCAGCATAGAAGCGTCGCACTTGTGAATCGAAATGAGATTCATCGTTATTGTTCAACGATCGCCCATCTGCAACAGTAACAAGACCAATCATCAATACCGTTATACAACAGACGTATAATTTTTCCATGTATGGTGATGTGAACTAATAGTAATAATGTATGTATCGATGGACGAAAATTACTCTTCTCTTATAAGATTTGCATTACATGGTGAGTAGTGAAGCGTAACGGAATATTTTGGTATACAAAACAAAAAAAAGTTTTTTTTTGCCTGAATTATCGTCTTTTTCTTCAAGCAATTTTCATCGATTCTTATGAGTATAAACAAGTTTCACCTTGACGTAATATTTTATCTGTGCGCAGCGAAGGGCATCTGTACATAACTCTATTTGTTTTTGAACACGATTTTAAATTATGTAACAATAGCTGCAGAAAGTACTCAGTTTAATAGAGTTTCACAACAATAAAACCAGTAAAAAGAAAATAAATTTTATCTGATCGAGTTGTTTAGTGAAAAGTAAAATTCATTAATGAAAATAATGATCAAATGCTTAATCTTAATATCTGCATCGATATAAACATAAGTACAATATCACCAACCAATATCAAATTGTATTCATGAAGAATTAATACGTAACAATCCATGTTCCGAAATATCAATTAAGCCATCGAGGTACCGATATATAAAACAATAGAATATGTATCTTGTTTGAAAACGGAAGTATCAGAATGCTAAGTATATACGATCTTTCATCGATGGAATTGAATGTTAATCGATGATGATCGTCTTTACAACATTGAGAGAAACATCAAAAATTGAATACGAATTTTTTTGAATAATCATTTCACTTTTAAGTGAATAAATCAATAAGATGAAGCGTATCTTGTTGTTTCTTCTTTGTTATTAATATGATGATGTGAGTTATGTTTTTTAATGATAAACGCCATTCAAAGTTTGATACATATACATATATATAAATATTGAATTTAATCTTTGTTTTGGTAATATTTTAAATTACTAATACATTGTAGAAAAGCATCTGATATCGCATAATAATTTTCTTTTTTTTTATTCTTTCATCATTACAAACTAAATTGTGAAATCTATATAGAAGACGAAAAAGTAAAAATCAAAAAAGGTCATCTAATATATAGTAATACAATTTGGAAGAGTACAGATGGAGAAGACTAGTCATAATCCACATAGGTAATCATAAAACATATTCAAACTAATATATTTCTATTAGTATTTATTGAAAATGACCTTCAATTTTTACTATGTACATGAATTTTCAAATATTCCATATGAAAACAAGAAAATAAATTCAAGTCACTTCTTGTATGTGTTTATTTGGCTTTAAGTAAAAGAGAAAATGTGAATGAGTCTTTGCAAGAATATTTATTAAGACAAAATCAACCGAACAAAAAAATGAAATAAATGGAAAAAAAGAATGGTAATTCCATGTGATCAGTCGACGTCATATCCAGTAATAACTATAAAGCTACAACATTTACTGCAGTTGGACCCTTTTGACCATTTTGTATTTCGAATTCAACTCTTTGACCTTCTGCTAGGGTTTTGTATTCCTTGTCTTGAATTGCAGAAAAATGAACAAAAACATCTTTGCTGTCACCTTCGGAAGTAATAAAACCGAAGCCTTTTGTTTCATTGAACCATTTGACTGTGCCTTTCATTGTAGTTAGAATACCTAAAATAAATATCAAAAGATATATATTTGTTTACATACACACGCACATAATCCTTTCGATGAAGTCCTCCTCAGAATAAATTAAGATTCTTTACTATCAGCAATATGAGTACTTTATACATTTCTCCTTTTTACTGTGTCGTTTTTATATATAAATACCTTCTGTAGAAATGTTGATCTAGAAAATATGTGTATGTTAGTAAGAGTGATAAAATATAAATGTAAAAGAAATGAATGTAATGTAATACGAAAATAAGTCTGAAAATCGTTTTCTCTCTTTCCTTTATCTACTTCTTTCGCTCCTTCGTCTATGGACCACTATATTGTCAAATTGTCTGTCCTGGTCCTTTTTGTTCCTCTATATAAATAAAGATGTCACTGTCGATGAAGTTATATTTTTTTACTATTCTATCGCCTGTTCACTCGTGATATTCTATTTTATTCCAGCCTGTTCAACATTTAAAATGTGACCTCATTCATTTTTCTTTAATTGTCAATCTACTTATAAAGATACAATAAAACTAAATATAAAAAAAACAAAAAAAAAATTAAGATTATCTTGTGAACTATAATACGTGTATAAAAAATTCAATGAATTTATTTAATGCATAACTAACTGTAGATATGATTATTTGAATGATCATCCTTTCTTCTATCTAGTGGATGAGAGAAAATATCTCACAGGACAAATCGATGACAAATACTAGAGATTAAAGCATCTTGTTGTTGTCAGTGCTTTGTTATCACTATGATGATATGGATTATGTTTTTAACGATAGATGCCACTCAAAGCTTGATACATATACATATAAATATTAAACTGAATTTTTGTTTTAGTAATATGTTAAAATAATAATACATTGTAGAAAAGCATCTTAAATCACATAATAATTTTCTTTTTTTATTCTTTCATCACTACATACTAAATGGTCAAATTTGTTTAGAAGACGAAAAAGTAAAGATCGACCTAATATATAATAATACACGTTTGAGGAGTGCTGATGGAGAAGACAAGCCTCAATCCAAATAGGTAATCAAAAAATACATTTAAACTAAATATTTCTATCAGTATTTTCTGAGAATAATCTTCAACTTGTTCTATGTACATGAATTTTCAAATAGTCCGTACAATGACAAGAAAATAGACGCATGTCACTGCTGGTAAGTGTGTATTTATGTTTAGTTAACAGAAGAGTTGTGTAAGATTCTTTGCATAAATATTCATTAAAAGAAAATCAACCGAACAAAAAAGTGAAAAATTTCAAAAAAAAGAGAATGATAAGTCTATGTGATCAATCGACGTCATATCTAGTAATAACTATATTGACGTGACATCCGTTGCAGATGGACCTTTCGAACCCTGTTCTGTACGGAACTGAACCTTCTGACCTTCTGCCAAGGTTTTGAATCCATTGTCTTGAATTGCTTTAAAATGAACAAAAACATCTTTACTACCATCTTCAGGAGTAATAAAACCAAAGCCTTTCTTTTCATCGAACCATTTCACTGTGCCTTTCATCATATTACTTCTAACACCTAAAACAAATATCAAAACACATATTTTTCTTCATGTACATACACATAGTCCTTTTGACGAAACCCTCCTCACAACAAACTAAGATTTTGTTGTAAACTATAATACATGTATAAAAATTTCAATGAATCTATTCAATGTACTAACTAACTACGAACATGATTATTTGAATGATTATCCTTTCTTTGATCCACCAGATGAGAGAAAAGAACTCACATAACAAATTGATGATACTTACTAAGGTCCATGCGTTTTTTTTAGAAGATATTTGAATCGTTTCACCAGAGTGTCATCTTCATCATCGCTATTTTGTTCATTATTAAAGTGTCGTACATTGAGATTGTCTTGTACCAGGTGATCGACATCAGCATGGAGGCGTCGCATTGGTGAACTGAAATAAGCTTCATCGTTATTGTTCAACGATCGTCCCTCTGTAACAGCAACAAGACCTACCATCAAGACCATCACACAACAGGTGTATATTTTTATCATGTTTAATAATGATATAAATTAATAGTGATAATGTATGTATCGATGAAAAAAAATCACCCCTCTTATAAGATTTGTATTACATGGGGTTTAGTGAAGCATAACAGAATATTTTAGTATACAGAAAATAGAATAATTTTTCTTTCCATACTTATCGTCGTTTTCTTCAAACAACTTTGGTGCTTTCTTACGAGAAAAAACATGTTCCACCTTGACGTTATATTTTTATCTGTGCGCAGTGAAGGGTATCTTCACATGATTCTAACTAATTACATGTTATTTTGTGTTTCTCTAATTGCTTTCGAACACTATGTTAAATTCTGTAATGATGACTGAAGAAAGTACCTAGTGTATTAATATATCGTAACAATAAAAGCAGAAAAATTTGATCTGATTTTTTTTTATTCAATGAAAAGTGAAACTTATGAATGAAAATAATGATAAAATACTTAATCTTAATATCTCTATGAACTTTTCGATCTTGCTGTGATTGTTCTAAAGGGCATCATTATCGATACAAATACAAGTACAATAACAACAACCAATATCAAATTATATGCATGAAGAATCAATATGCACAATCCATATTTCGAAACATCAATAGCCATAATAACACACGCAACAATTAAATCATTGAAGTATTGGTATGAATGAATATTTAGTCGAATTTTTGTTTCAGTAATATTTTAAAATAATAATACATTGTAGAAAAGCTTCTTTTATCACATAATAATTTTCGTTTTTTTATTATTTCGTCATTTCATACTAAATGGTCAAATCCGTATTTTAAAACATGAAAATCAAAAAAGATTACCTAATAGATAGTAAGTCAATTTGAAAGAGTGCAGATGAAGAAGAAAAGCCTCAATCCAAATATATAATCAGAAGATACATTCAAACTAATATATTTCTGTTAGTATTTATTGAAAATGATCTTCAACTTTTTCTATGTACATGAATTTTCAGATAGCTTATCGAATGACAAGAAAATAAATGCAAGTCACTACTTGTGTATATGTATATTTATGTTTAGCTAAAAGAGGTAATGTGTAAAATTCTTTGCATGAATATCTATTGAAGAAAAATTAACAAAACAAAAAAGTGAAAAAACTGGAAAAAAAAAGAATGGTAAGTCTACGTGATTAATCGGCGTCCTATCAATAATGACTACAGCGCCTTGATATTTACTGCTTGTGGACCCTTCGGACCGTTGGTTATTTCGAACTCAACCTTCTCACCTTCTTTCAAAGTTTTGAATCCGTTGCCCTGGATTGCAGAGAAATGAGCAAAAACATCTTTACCACCTCCGTCATGAGTAATAAAACCAAAGCCTTTGGAGTCATTGAACCATTTCACCGTACCATGGATTTTGCTTCCAGTTTCTAGAACAAATATCAAAAAATATGCATTTCTTCCCATATACATGCATAATTCTTTTTGCACGTCTTGACTATTTAAAAAACTAAAAATCTTGAGAGTGTGGATGTAAATTGAAAAAAACAAAAGATACTCACCCTTCAACACTTAATATTAAGATAAGAATAGTTATCTTCATTATCAATTATATTATTTCTACTAACTTTATAATAAACTAAAACTGTTAGTAAAAGATATTAAATCATTTATAAGAGTTAATAAGAAAAATGCATGTAGAACAATGAGTGTAACAAGTTAAAAGATTGTAAATTTGTTTTTTAAATTATTTGTTTTTTCTTTGATAAGATATTTTAATTAAAAAACTTTTGAAATATCACAGATATTTATTAATATGTTCATTTTTTTGTTAAATCAAATATTTTTAAGTATAATAAAAATAGAATAATCTTTAATTGTTGAAACTGATAAAATAAATTGTTTCGAATGGGAAATTTTGAATAATTTATTAAATGTATATATAGATGGAAAAAGAAAACTCTAAACGAGATAAATTATTTCAAGATATAGAAGAAACTTGTCGAAATTTCGATTTTGAATGTGGTGATTTGTTACAAACACAATCTTGATAATTGGTATATGGACTACAAGAACCCGTTTTATATCCATGACTTCTACAATGATGTCGACATCGATGTTCATTTCGATGTTCTGGTCCATTACAACCAAAACTACGTGTAGAACGATCACTATTTTCAATTTCATTCATCACTAAAAAGTAATAATACTATTATTTCAATATAAAATAGAGACAATATTTCACATACGATTATGAAGATACACTTTATGTTGTTGAGTTGATTCAATTTTCATTACAAAAGTAATGAAAAAAACTACTATGATCAAGAAGTTTAAGTTCAATGACACTAAGAAAAATCAATGAAATTTTATTTTGTAAAAGAATTTTCCATAAAATGATCTTACTCATTTCCATCACAAGATCTTCGCAATGCAAATACTAAGGTTACTGGATTTGACAAGTATTGTTCAACTAGAAAAATATCATAGAAACTTCTTTGTATTTGAATATTAAGTGATGCAAACGACCTTGGACAAGTGCCAGACTCTGTTAAATCGTAATATTGGCCTCTTACTCTAATGAAATTTTTATTTTGTTCGAAAAAGCAGAATCCGAATAATAAATTTTCTACCAGAATTATTTTTCAAGAACAAATCTGAGAAGAAAGAAAAGCGAAAGAGCAACTATCTCTTAATAATACCTTTGCAACTCGATAGATTTGCATTTCTCAAGATTTTAAGTTAGATGAGATCAAATTGTAACAAGAACATTCCATGAAAAACTCTATCGGTAATAGCTTTGATAAAATCTCTTAGGCCAGTTCTCCGTTCTTTAAACAAAATAGTTAAGAAACTGAGATTTTTATTAAACGAGTCTTCACCAAAAGATTATCGATTTCGAAAATCATCATCAACAATTATGTTCAGACATTATGAAAAAGTAAGTGTTTGTGTGCATTATTTTATCAAAATACATTATTTTCTAATGGCTCAGCAAAAAATTATCTCAAAAACATTTTTAAAGTCGTTTGATTTTTAGTTTATCCTCCTTCTCGGATTTGTTCAAAGACTTTTGCATCACTTAATATATTTTAATGATCTTTTTTTTGAACTTACTAGAATTAAATAGATTTATAATATTATTGAAAAATATTTGTTAATATATAATCCATAAAGATAATAATGAATTAATTTTTCCATCTAATTAATTTTGATGTTACCATTTTTCTAAGAACACATAAAAAACTTCTTGTTTTCTCTTTGCTTAAATGATTGTTTGATAGTCGCTAGACAGTTGACAACATTAGATTTGAATATAAGTCACATAAAACAATTATTATTACGTATTTCCTACACTTTGTTTTAGTGGGTTGTGATAATATTATTTATTTCTTAATAAAACTAATTCATTTCATTGAAGGTTATTTGATACAAATTCCTGACATTGACTATGTTATCATGTCTTGAAAAAGAAAAATCTTTTTAAAAGTCAGGTTTTATTTTAAGGACAATTATTTATCTCAAAGGATTGATTACAGTCTCTAGAAAGAATCAAATATTTTCTTTTCCTTTATTCATGACAAAATAGACGTGCTTTTATAGATTATTAACTAAAAAATTTACAGAATAACTTTATCTTTCATAGATATTATCATTAAATCAGCCGGTAAAAGTACACTTGTCATTAGTTTCTATTCTAATCCATCAATAAAACATATTTTTTTATTATTTTTCAACAAATTTTTACTGGATTTTATACTGATCATAATATTCGATTGATATATTTAAAATTAGAAAAATTCATGGAAATTTTATAAGATAAATATCATTTGTTAGTACACTAAAACATATGAACAATTAAAATAGATTATATATACTATGAGAATATTTAAAATTTTATTAACAAAATTTGACTTGTCTAAAGAAATATTTTTGAATAATAAATTAAACATGTTGGCAGACTTTGATAGTTTCCCAATAGTATCTTTTTATGTTTCTTTGATGTTGGAATAAAAAGAAATCTAGATTATAGTTACATCAAAACCTGACAAAGAATGGTTTTGTAGTTTTCGTTATAAAATTCAATAGAGATAATAAACTGTTAATCTCGAAAATCAATGTAGATATAATAACTTTTTTAGAATTAATTGAATAAAACTGATGAACATTTTTTTTCTCTAATGATAAAAAGAGATTTCTTATATTTTGTTAATAATTTGAAATATTTTTTATTGGTTGAACAATATTCACAAAAGAATTTATTTGATATAAATTATTTAACAAATAAGAATTAAATAAAAAATTCAAATATTTTATATTTGTTCATCATGTTATAATTGATTTACATTGTATAAAAAAAAATTTTATGATATATTTTACGACATTGATGAGTCATATTGATAACATGAAAATGTCCGATAGAGATATGATAATACCCAAAAAAATTTAATCGAATCAGATGCTCTTTCGCTTTCCTTCCTTATACTTCTTCGTTTTTTCCCAGTTTAATATAGATATAGATAAAGATATTTAGTCAAAATTCTTCTCTTACGATTAATTTCATGACTCTTATCCGACGTTTAACTCATCATTATGTTGAAATTCAAAAAAATCCACCACCATTATGTTATGCAGAACCAAAAGATCCAAGTAAAGATA